TTCCACCTGTGTCTCGTTTCCTCCACCTCTCTTGGGTATTTAAGTGTGTGTATTCCTTTTTGTCTAGTGTTGGCTCGCCTGTGTTTTACAATAAGCACGCCATTTGTTTTCACTCTGGAATTTGGGAGTTTTACCTGGCTAGGTAACTGAAAAATGTTCAAATCCAGGTTTGTTGTTTCACATGTATGACTACTACTTTATTGAACGCAGATTACATTTCATTCACAGTTAACGTGAGCTAGAGGAAATGAGATGTTTGCTAAGAAAAGAGTAAGTTGAAAGTTAAAACTTGAAATGATAAGAATTCTGAATTAGAGATGATAATGCAGACTGTATTTTATGATAGTGTCTTTAGTTCTGGTTCAGCATTGTGTGGGTCTGACTTTCTACAATACTTGGTGACTCCTGTTTGTGGCACCCATGAACTGGTGAACTTGATTCATCCTCATCTACAGACTGCAGACATTACGTTAAAGAAACAAGGAGATTGTAACTTTGTAAATGTGCTTACAGACCAAAAGCGAAGTGAGCGTTGTGGGCGCCGCGTTTACATACAAAGTCAATGCAAAGACACAAAAGCGCCACGAGCGGTGCGAAGAGGGCGCTGCTGGCAACGAGAAGGCCTTTGCGTGCATTTTCAACTCGAGCAAGAAAGTCACATGACGCTAAGTCGCTGTAGCCTATCAGCGTTGAGATCATCCTGACATCACCGATGGCTTCAGAGCGTTGTGTGGAGAGGGCCGGGCAGAGCGGGGGATTGAAATGCCGCTGGCCGGCGGAGAGCTGCTACACTTGGAGAAGTCGAGGACAGAGCAGAGAGCAGCGCTGCAGCTTTTGGACAAATAAACACCCGCAGTCGGTTTGGATTACACTCTGACAACTAATCCGTTTGCCCGTGGGAGGAGCTCGGAGTAAACTGCTTTTATTAAATTAGCTTTTCACTTTAGTTTTGGGGATTACAACGTTGATTTATCTTCACTGGAGCTTCTCAGCAGCTAGCTTCCATGCACATCTGGTTTCACTGTTGTTGTTAGAAGGGGTGATGGAGCAGTGGCTAAGACACTACTTCACAACTTTATTCCAGCTATCGTTGTACTTTACTGTGAACAAGTTAGCGTAGCATAGCCCTGATCGATCCAAACTCCATTCAGAAAACAAACCTTTTAGAAGTTGTTGTCCTGCTGACTTGCTGACAGACCTGACAAAGCATGAATTCATATGTTTAACAAATCTGCATCATATTGTAGTTATTTCTGCATCAGTTTGATCCGTTTATTGCAATTAAATCCCAGCAAAATTTTACATTGGTTTCATAGAGCTGTAGTAATGGTGAGTTGTAGTATAGTAGGGGGTTTGTATTTAAAATGTACTATAATGTATGTGTATGCACTTTCTAAAACTTATCTGGTAGTAAAGATAAAAATAAGTTTGAAGATTGGAATTTTGTGTCTATGATGAGATTCCTGAAGGGTTGGGGCGTTCAGCTTAGTTCGATATAGGGCCCTCCAGATCCCTTTTGCCTGGGGCCCCCAAAGTGCCTTGAAACAGCCCGGCCCGGGAGGAAACCGGGAGAGGGCAATGAAACACGGGATTCTCCTGTGAAAATCACGAGGGTTAGCAAGTATGAGCGAACCGGAGCTAACCTCTATGGCTCCTCGTTTCCTTCTGTACGACAGCGTGCTGCGTATGACGTCCTTTTATTCTTCTGCGCATGCGGGTCACTTGCAGGCCGGGGCCAGTTCACACTTCAGTCTGATATGGGCCACGTGTAAACTAAAAGGTCTGCAGTGTGAACGTAGCCTTTAAGTCCACGTGAGGAAAGTTCAAGACAGGATATTAGAGTCAAAATACGCAAACCTACGTAACTTCAATGAAAACTAAAATATTGTCTTTGTATAAAGTTTCACACAGGAACCTGAACGGGTCTGAGGCTGGTCATGAGTGAGACAAAAAAATCTATAGACAGAGTGTGTGTGTGTGTGTGTGTGTGTGTGTGTGTGTGTTGGTTGTTTATGTGTCTACAGTCTGCATCATTGTGATCATGATTTCATATATCACATTGTGACTCTGACATAAAGTATATTTGGATTTGAATGATTAAATGTCTAATTGAAAATCTAAATAAAGAGTCGCATTAATTATTTTCCTGAAACCTACTAGGGTCATATCTCCTTCACTCGTTACTTTGATTCAGGAATATTATTTATTTTTCCATAGATATTATTGAGTTTATGTGGTTTTGCTCAGGGGCGTTGCTTGACATAAAGCTCTACTGGGGCACAGATCCCCTCATTAAATTTTTGATTTATGAAATGTGTCAGTATGTGCCTCACCAGCTTCCCTTGCTAAGCATTAACTCAGTCCTCCATTAGGGTCTGAGCTGCTTGTATCTGATGCTGCCTGTACATCTCTGGCTGTGCTTTTACTGGCTGAGGCTGCCTGTATTTCACCTGGGTCTGTGTGACTTTCTAAAAACTTCTGTGTTTCAGCTGTGTGCTGGCTGATGATCCAGCATCTCCTCTGCAGACAAACTTCAGCATAGCCCCAGTAAATTATAAATCAATACTTGCAAGATATTAATGTTATCAGCTGCATCAGGCCCAAACAAACTGGCTCCCCGAGTTTCCTTTAATATTTTCCTTTTGAAAATGTACTATTTATACTATGACATGTGATGTTTATTATCTACTGAGAGATGTGCATCCATATTGCCTAGTCTGTCCTGCTAATCAACTTTTTAATAGTCAATGTGATTCCCATTCTTTCCATCTTGCATCAGTCCAGAGTTGTGACTAAACCTTCAATGAGCGCAGGTTCACGTGCGACGCGGTTTTCTTTTCAGCGCAGTTTATAAACATCGTTGCACGTCGGCTGCTCAGCTGGGTTAGCAAGACAGACAGAGATTCACTGCAGCTACACATGCTGCTCACATCAGACCTTTTACCTGCTGAAGTTAACCTGACTGCTGTTCTCCAAAGTCACTCTCGCTGAGTTATTTTTTCTTCATGTGCACAGAAGGATAGTCCCGCTTTAGACCTCTCATCAACGTTGGAAATACTCGCTTTCAAAATGGACTCGTTTTTGCGACGTTTCATATCGTGACAACGTGCCTTTTCACATCGACCACTAGGTAGCTTCAACGTATTCCTTTAAGGCACTCGTCATAATTATGTATGCAAAAGTGCTTCTTTTTGCCACTGACAGGCTCAGATTGTTATACCAGGTGTCTGACACAATCGTAGAAGGGATCCCTATGAGTAACCTTGTTTTTAACCAGAAACAGAAGTCTTGCTAAAGGACATTCTTGCTCTGAAATCTCGAAAGGAGTACATTGCAGCCACTGAAGCTAGTTCATGGGAAGCCATCTACTGCACGGATTTCAAAACATTTTGTACCTATTAGTCATATATAGTAAGACCGTCCCTGTGTTTGAGACAAACTGGCTCAGGGAAACAGACATTTTAACTAATGCAAATGTTTGACATAATGTTTCATCAGTTAATTGCAAGCACTTGTTAATACTACTTATACGTCTGGAACACTAATGTCAGGAAACTGCAGGCAAACTTATGTCCATTACAGTTCTGATAATAGTTTTCTCACAATGTTAATTTAATGTGAAATAATTGAAACAACCTAAATCCATATTAAAAATAAAACCAAATACTTAAAACCAGTCCTTATTCTTAGAATATACATCTTAACTGAGTCGACTATATCACAACCACATCTACATAAACATCCAGGTTCTAGTTTGAAGTAAACAAGCAGCCATTACTAGGGTGCCTCCTCACTTGTAAACCGACGTACAATTCAATTTAATTTCAATTTAATTACATTTTATTTATATAGCACCAATTCATAACAGTTATCTCATATCACTTTTCATAAAAGAGCAGGTCTAGACCGTACTCTGTGATATTATTTACAGAACCCAACAACAACACTGATGTACATGAAGGACTCACTTTCTAACTGCATGTGCCAAGAAATTTGTCCAGGAGAACCCTATAGAACCTTAAACATGTTAGAAATACAATCATAAATGCTGTTAAAATAAATAAAAGGTTACAATCTGAAAAAAACAACAACTCTTAACTCCTGAGAAACAGAGCTTTTGGGAACTAAATGGAAAAGAAAGGCCTCTGCTCAATTAAATCAGCTTCACTTTTATAAATCTCTAAATTGCTGGCTTGCTACTCTCACGTTTCCTGGACAACATTCCACCTTTACAGTATCGTGGATTTCCGATTTTTACTACATTTCTTCTGATCCAAATGCAAGTAGTACCACATAATCACAAGGACAGAACTGATTTGTAAAATGTTATTTTTTCCTTAGGGCTGTGTCATAATTAATTTCAGGCAGGTGTTTTGAGACAGAAGAACTTCCAAATTCACACAGACCGCCATCATCTGTCCACCATAAACAACCCAAACATCAGTGCTTTCACTGCCAGCATGAAACTAAGACATAAAAAGCACATATACAGATGTACAGGGAGGAAGAAGTTGCATGTTTAATTATGTGCATCATATTAACTACTTTTACTTTAAAACATAAGCATTTAAATCTGTGTATAGATAGATCCTAGCTATTGACCACTGATGGATGTTTGAAATATGATTAATTCTGTGTTGAGGCATGTTGTGAAAAGTTGCTAGGATGTGTGAACTTCTCTGGGACGTTGGCCCAGGTTTGGACAGGGCAGACCAGAAAGGGTTAATGCGAGAGGATGTTTGTGTCCAAACAGTGGAAAAACAGTATTGCTGCCAGATTTTGGGAGCGATTGTTTGCTTCTTATGAGAGAAGACGTAGACAACAGGAAGATACGTTCTGTGTATAAAAATGTGTAGATTCAGACTTGATCCTCTGTCTTTTTACCATTTCATAAACACCATGCTGTGTGAAAGGTTCCCTCACTTCCTGTACTTTATCGATCAGAATTTAGACGATGTCATAATGTTGATGATGTCATAAACAAGTTCTGAGGGGAAAGTGATGTCACTGCCTGCTTCCACATTCTGAAGATCAAAGCCACAGAGTGAACACATTCTGAAACTTCAGCTCCTCAGTCTAATGAATCATTTACAACTGAGCTTCGTGTACAGAGCCCAGAAAAACAAGCGGTGGTTAACACAGTCGTTAAGAGAGAAGAAAAATGAGCTGCATCGAGGAAACGGTCCCTTCTGAGAAGTTCTTTGACAATCTGGGCATGGACGTCAGCCAAGAACAAGCAGATATATCTGACCAAGAAATCAAAGTGGACTTGGATGCAGTCATTCAACAACTGGAAGGAATAGATCTCCAACTGCAAAGGTACGCTAGACAATATGAGAAAAAACAACTAGCAGAGCTCCATGAAAATAGCCAAACTCAAAAAGAATTGGATGCAATGTCCAACGCTATGCAAGTGGCGAAAGAAGCCATTTTGAACGCCAATGAAGCTTTGGAAAAAGAACGTCAGGAGCTACACAATATGACACATGATAAATCCTTTGATGAGAACTATGATAAAGTCAAAGCAGAGCTCTTAGCAGCAAGCCAGCAAAACGAGGCGTTGAGACAAGAAATTCAGGAGCTCAGGAGAAGACCCCAAAATGAACCATCTTTGGAGGAATTGTGTAATGTCATTAAGGAGGAAACAGAGGCCATGAGGCTACAAAATTACAGCATACAAGAGGAAATCCAGGAGCTCAAAGAAAAGCGTAGAAATTTAACTGCTCTGGATGAAACGTATGACACACTGAAAGCAGAGAAAGAGGCGATAAGCCAGCAAAATGACGACCTGAGACAAGAGATTCGGGAGATATCCAAAGATCTCCGATATGAAAAGGCTCTGCGGGAAATGAATGAGCAAATGGAAGTTTCCAAAGTGACCATCAGCCAGGAGAACGCAGCACTGAAAGAACAACGCCAGAAGCTCTACAAAGATTATGAAGATCAAAAGATTTTCGGTGTCATGTGTAGGGAGAAGTTGCACAACATGGGATTTATGTGCAGAGAAAATGAAGACATCCAAATAGACATTGAGGACCTTACCAGTAGGATCCAGAACAGAAAAGCCATGAAAGACAAATATAAAGCCCTGAAAGCAGAAGAAAAAGTTGTCTCTGCAAAACAAAATGAGCTTCTTAAAACACTTGCAACGCTCCACTCAAAGTTTCGAGGTATGAAAGAATATGAAGGCAAGTGTGGTCCGCTGAGAGAGGAGATAGGAGCCTTAAGACAACGCAACGATGAACTCCATCAAGAAATCCAACAGTGCAGTGAGGAGATAGAAAACAAAACTGTTACAAAGGCAATTTATGACTCACTGAAAGGAGAGAAAAAGAATCTAACGCACAGAAATAAAATCCTGAAAAAAGAAATTCAGGAGGTGGAGAAAAGGCTTGTAAAGGAACAAGCTTTGGTAGACAGGAATGATGTCATGAAAGAAGAAAACGAAGCCTTGATCCAACAAAACCACACATTACAGCTGGAGGTTGAAGAGCTCTACGGCAGACTGCAGAGTGAAAAAATACTGGAGGTCCTGTACAAATCGCTGACAACGGAAAAAGATGCCACGAGTCGAAGAAATGATGTACTTCGACGAGAGGTCCAGAAGCTCAAAGAAAAGCTGAACAGTGAAAGAGCTTTAGAAAGTGCACGCAATGCAATGAAGGCTGAGAAACAGAAGGTCGACCGAGAGCACGCAGCACTGCAGCAAGAAATTCAAGACCTGAACAGCTCCTGAAGAGCTATATGGAAAGCTGACATACATTGTTTTTGCTTTCCAAGGGAAAAAAGGGTATGGATTTAACTTCAGCCTCACACAAAAGGGTGCTGGTTTAATTTCTGGGCCTGACTCTTTTTGTGTGGAGTTGGATTTTCTCCTCATGTTGACCTAAAAATACCAAACCACAAACTAAAAGAGGGGCAGCACAGTGGCGCAGTGGTTAGCACTGTCGCCTCAGAGCAAGAAGGTCCAGGGTTTGAACCTTGGTCATCTGCGTCTCTGTGTGGAGTTCATATGTTCTCCCCGTGTCTGTCCCGGTTCTCTCCGGGTGCTCCGGCTTCCCCCCACCGTCCAAAGACATGCAGGTTAATTGGTGACTCTAAATTGTGCTTAAGTGTGAATGTGTATGAATGGATGTTTGTTTCTATGTGCCCTGTGATGTTTGATGTTCTCCCCTCTCCACCATGGGGTTACTCCAGGTGCTCCAGTTTCCTCCCACACCAGAAAACATATATAATATGTGGATTCTTAATTAACCTCTAAATAAATAAATAAATATATCAATTAAATAACTTTGTTATTTCTGGTTATTTATTGATAAATAGTAGTTTTAAGGTGTTCTAATGTGATATTTTTTGGCTAAAAGAGATCACATATTTCTCACACCAGCTTCTCTGCACTGGCTCCCTGTAAAATCCAGAATATAATTTAAAATCCTTCTGGTCACCTAAAAAGCCCTTAAAAGGTCAGGCACCATCATATCTGAAATAGGGTTGGGTATCAAGAACCGGTTCCAAGCTGCATTAGTGTCCAGCGGTCGGTCCAGCAATCTGTTCCTTTATAAAGTCCAGGTCCTCGGGCAGCACCGGGCCATGTTGCTCCATCACAGGCTTCAGGCCATTGTCGTTCACCGGGTAGTCAAACGTGGCTAGAGAGGCAGTCTCATGCTGCGACAGAAACAGACTCATTAAAAGTCTTGGAGGACTCAACATGACATTTACATGCACAGTGCTACAAAATAGATAATGTTAAATTAAACCAAAAATGTGACCATACATTTTGTGTTAATTTAATTTATTTATCTATCTTGCTTGCTGTTTTCCCCATTATCATCCCAATTCACTCAAATAAAAATAATAAATCATAATGTACAAAATTAATTGCGGCTGTTAGGGAGAACTAACCATTTGTGAGAGCTGACCTGTAATCTTGACTTCAGCTATGTGACTATACCCATATGGACAGACTCACAAAGTGGGGGTGCTGTCAAATATGGTCAAACTTGATTTTCATCCATTTAACAATTAGATATTTAAAATCGTATTACACAAATGTGATTCCCACCCTTTTAAACCCACCCGTGTGCACTCAGTATTTGCAACTTCCAATTATATGAAATACAATAATATTTTTGAAACTACAATTCCTTCTAGCAGCTTGATACAAATTAGCATCATATTAGTAGTTCTTTTGGTTTGAATAGTATGGCTGTGAATAGGGTCATAAAAATATATATCTACTGAATATATTAAATATCTTGTACAGCCGTACACGTACTTAAACTACATCAACATGGTCTATGTTAAGAAAACGTAAAGATGATCGACATTTTAGGGCTGCGCGATGTAGCGTGATAAAACCATCTGCACCGCACATAGTTCTTCTTGTTTGCAAACAAGCAACAGCAACTATCCAATATATCTACGTTCTTTTCCCATTAATGTTTGGAGTTTACTTTCATAGGCCATTTGAGGCTAAAAAGACCTGTTCTCTTTAGGTCTGGATGCACAGCTTACTGGTGTTTGGGCTATATATCAAAATCAAATGGTCATAAAAGGTGTATTTGTTGTCCCATCTTGGTTCACTCAAAAACTGAAGCTTTGATTTTAATCATATTTATTTTTTCAACAGATTCCACAAAATTGTTTTAGGTTAGTTAAAAGCAAAAAATTTAATTAGCTTGTATAAGAGTAACACAATGAATGTCAACTGATCCAATTAAAAATAAAACACTTCTGATCAACAATATATTTAAGCTTACCTTTCAATATTTTATTTGGAGTAGTAAAAATATACATTTATGTTCAATTAATTAAAACATTAGGTTTTCATTCAATATTTTTTTCCGAATTAGACACAATTCAAATGTTTGTCAACTGGTCCCACACAAATCAATTTCAACTTCATTTTGTTATGGACTTTATTCACCAACACATCACTATCATTTTGGTACAATTGGTGAAAAAAATAATACAGTAAAATTATTGGCACTATAAAGTGTAGAAAAGTTTGCAAAATAATGTTTAGTTGTCAACAATTTTGATGATGCTTTGCTTAGAATTCTGCCTATTCCACAGAACACAGCGTCCAAATCAATGGCTCATTCATAGAGTTTGTTCTTGAGCATCTGTACCTTGGTTGAGAGTTTGCTAGCATCTAGTTGAAAGAATCACTTGTGAAGTACCTCAAAGAAGGCTTTAAGGTTCTGAGGATAACTGAGGTTCAGTGCATAATTACACCTATTAAGAGTGCACGTGTAGAGGCGACGTCTCCCAAGTCATGCAGAACTTCAGCAGCCTCGGTGACTATCCCAACATCAGCTGGAGGAGCGGTGGCATCACCTCCCTCAACACGGATGCTGTAAAGATAACTTGTCCGAGCTCGCTCGGAACAGCTGTAGCGTCAGATCCTTTACATAGGACAGAAAGAAAGTAGAAAAACAAATTGTGAAATCACAAACAGATTTTGCAGAATTCTAAAGAGTAATGTTTGCATTTCAGGTGTCCTTTATGTAATGATTTCACAAAAATGTGTTTAAAAATTACAAGATGAAGTAGTGCTGGTGAATTAAATATTAGATACTATTGTGTATTATTTAATATACCTCACCAAGCACTTTATTTGGAGGGCGTGCAGTCTACTGCAACCCAACAGCTCTGCCATAAATCTTTACTTTTACTAAGCTTAGATATTGAACAAGTGTTTCTATTATTCTGCCCCCCTCATGTATGTCAATGGGGTAGACAATATTAGGAAAACTTTTCAATATAATGCACTCCAGTACACCACCCACTATGAAATCAGTAATAACAGAATGTATGGCAGGTGTCATTTTTGATTGCATTAGACAGCAGATGTTCCTGATAAAATGCATTGTGAGTGTATATTAGATTTCCCAAAAGAGACAAAAAACAAACTGATTTTCTGCAAATCCTAAGAAAGTACCAAGGTTACAGTTGTGGTCAAAAGTTTACACACACTTCTAAAGAACATACACGTCAAATTTTTCTGTGATGAATCATTGTCACAAAAAAACGTCATGAATTTTGGTCCTTTCATGAATTTATTACGTCTCTTCCGAAAATGTGACCAAATCTACTGGGTTAAAAATATACATACAGCAATGTTAATATTTGTCTAAAAGTCCCATTGTCATTTTTACCTCACTTAGACTCTTTTGGTAGCCATCCACAAGCTTCTGGTTGAATCATTGACCGCTCCTCCTGATAGATTTGGAGCAGTTGAGCTAAATTTGACAAACAGACTTGTTTCTTCTAAATAGTTCACATGAAACCACCAAAAAACGTCCTGCTCAGCTTCCAGACCGCAGTCTGAAGAGGAGACGTTACCTGTCGCTAACTGCCTTCACTTTTCCAGCAGTTGGAGAACAGACAGACTTTAATTAACGGACAAACTGTAACCTACACTGTACATTTACAGCCAGACCGAAACGTAGCGCTCATATTTTCCTCTGCTCATTTTCACCGTCACCTAGCTGTCCTGTGAGGGAGGAGAGGACGCTAGCTATGTGCCACCGTGCTGCACAGTGCGGGCGAAAATCAACCAGCTAACGTTAACCTCTTTTCATTTTGCACTTGCAGTGAGATGTGTGTGTGTGTGTGTGTGTGTGTGTGTGTGTGTGTGTGTGTGTGTGTGTGTGTGTGTGTAAACCGGGACTGACTGTATGATTAATCCTTCGCTAGATGCTGTGAATAAATGGCGGGTTTGCCAAAATGATGAGTTTCCATAGCATAATTAACACAAGGCAACGACAGAGTAACGTTACACAACCGCTAACGTTACACGTAGGGGTAAGGGAGGAGGAAGAAACGTTTCAACTATTTGCAGCTTCTCTAGGTCGGCTTGGAGAGGCCTCGAGCAGCCTCTGCCAGACCTCACCAAAACCCTGATGCTAATTATTATAAATAAGCTAAAGAGGAAGCTATCGTTTTGTTATTTTGCAGTGTACTCTTAGTTTGCCACAAATCTAAAATCTTACAGAGACAGACAGTTTATGCATCTGCAGAGCAAACAGGAGAGATGTTCGTTCCCACAAGATGTCACTCAGTTTATCATGTTAAAGATGATTTTATTGGCATTTCAGATTTGTTTCTTACTGCTGCTGTTAGGGATGAGCGAGTACAGCATCATCTGTATCTGCGTTAACCATATAAATTATCTGTATCTGTACTCGGACTGGGATTTAACCTGGAAGTGGGTCGGGTTGTCTTGAAATGGGCGGGACTTTAACCGGTATGTTATTTTAAGCATGCAATTGATATGGGCTGATCAGAAATTTATTTTTTTATGATCAGTGTGATTATTTTTTATTTTATTTATAATTTTTTTATTTTTTATTTCCACACCAGGTATGTGTTTGTGAGTGAGTAAGAGAGAGGGGGGTGGTGTTTGTGTGTGTTTAACTTAATTTGTAATATTATTTTAAATAATTTATTTATACCACAACTAGCTTTATTGTTTTTATAACATACAGCAAGAAAGCATCAGACACTCAGTGCGTGAAGTAAAAAAACTGGTTAGAGCCAGCTGACGGTTTAAAAAAGAAATAAAAATCTCCGACAGGCAGAGACGCAGCACGAGTCGCATTCTACCAAGCACCACGTCTGAACAAACCCCACGTTTACCAGAACTCTACTGGTTAATAAGTAAGTAGTACTACAAACCAGAAGTAAAAAACAAACCTGAAGCTGAAGAAACCCTAAACGTTAACGGAAAAGACCCGCGAACCTGAGTGACTGAGGGAGAGACAGAGAGAGAGCTGTTCTCTTCTCAGTGTTCTGTGTGTGAGTGAGCAG